TTCCCTCTCTCTGGCACGCCACTCGATGTTTTAATTTGCATAACCTTTTTACAAGGAAGAATGATAAAATTATCTTAACAGTATGTAAGGTAACTCATGAAATGTCAGCTGAAATATCAAAATGCGTTTTCGTTTCGAACTGATTAATTAACTATGGTTTGAAGTATAATTCTATGATAATAAGGTTGCCTCACGATGTTAGCTTTCGAACGAACGTCCTTCCGGCTGCAAACAACAACTTTACTCTGTAAAAAATGACTACTCATATATCACGCTTTCTATCCTTGATTTTCGGTGTCCCTAAAAGTCCAATCATATTTCATGAAAACATGCATAAAAATTCTCAGTCACTGGCTCATTCGGTAGAAAATTACTTTCAATTTTATACTTGAAGGAGGGATATAATTCTGTTTCAAAAAGTTTCTAATCGTGAGATTTTTAGAAACCGCGAAATGGCCGTTCATAAAATGTCATGTCTCTGCATTCATCAATGTGGCTTGTAAAGTTAGCAAAAACGCTCAATTCGAATTCTAAATTTTATCAATCCCATATGGTTTCCTTTAAATACCGTAGAGAAATCTGTGGTTTTCCCTAAGAGGAAAATACAGGACTTATAGTTTGGAAACTCTAAATGCAAGTGTGATGGCAGAGCGGGTTCAAAATTATTCGGGAATTTAAAAAAGTTTTAAAAAACCAAATAATACCATTCTATCGAGTATAAAAATGGAAGAAGAATTAAATTTTAACCGAATGAGCTGAGGAATGAATATTTTTTATGTATGTTCTCCATGAAATATAATTGGAATTTTAGGGACATCGAAAATCAGGGAGGAAAATGCATGCTAAGTGAATAGTCATTTTTCACAGAGTATTGGTATTGTATGCAGCCGCAGGAGCGTGCGTTGGATAGCCAGCATCCTGAGTTAACCAAATTATTATAGAATTATACTGCAGAATGATCAGTTTTACAACCCTACTTGGTTAATCTTTTCGAAACGAAAATGCATTTGGGAATTTCGGCTGCCATTTCATGAGTTAGCTCACGTAGTGTATGTGACACCAGCTGCACATGTGATTTGGCGCACATTTATACTGCACCATTATTTTGAATAATATCGTTTTTAGTCAGTTCAGCTAGTATTTTTTAAAAACTAAGCCTTATTTTAATAATATAAAATTTTTAGGCAGCAGCAGGAGAGGAAATAACACAGTAGAGGCTCTCGCTGCACCAGCAGCTTCATCTGACTACGAAAATGACTTGAAATCCTGGATTTGGTCGTCCAAGAACCCTGTGGAAACGCTCAAATGGATTCATGGAGCTGCCAGCATCCATATATAAGCGATTAAAAACATACGACACGATGACAAGTGTGCTTTGGTTTTATTTCTTTGAAAAAATCAGAATAATTTCGGTACCGAAAACGTGACTAGGGATTAAACGCGAGTTTTTCATTAAGGGGAATAAAATGCGTACGTGTCATGCTGTGTGCTAGGCGTAACGGTTAATGTTTTTGAGGTTAATATTTATTCGCTGATAAAATTTCCAACTTTCATAGAATCATAAAACCAAATTTGTGTGCTTTTATAAGACTCCCAAATCTGCTTATACTAGGAAACATAAGGTTCAAGGATTTACAGCAACTTTGAAAATTAGAAATATCCTGGATGGCAGATATCCTTGGGCACAGCGGCCTTCGGGGAGGATTATATAAGATAACATTTTAATCTCTAGAAGTAGAGCAAACGTCGCGGATATATGCTGGACCACTAACTGCGAAAAGCAACTGATTAGAGCTGTAGACATAGATGTGTTCGTGGTTGTATTTACCATGTGATCATATGACCAATCCGAGTAACGAAGCCGCATCCAAGAAAAGTGATTGTACTCTTAATCTTAACCAGTTTCTTCCAAGTCTTTTATTTCTGCAGTTGCATTAATAGAGTTATTTACTGCCGTTTACAGTGTCATAGAAATAGGAGTAAACTATCACTGTTGGGTAAAAGAGAAGATTAGTTACCTCGAGGATGATGTAAAACAAACAATCAATAAGGATAATTGTCGTCAGTTTCTAATGATGATCGAGGTCAGCCGAAAGGACATAGCCAAGCCCGAAAGTGAACTACAACCCTTTCTACGGAAAAAGGGCGGTAGGTTTGTGAGTTGGAAGTGACTAGCACATGTGAAGGTTGTCCACATAGGTGAATCAATAAACTACATGTTTTAGGCTCGATGTTTCACGAACATGCGGCCCATAATGTAATTGGTCAATGGACAGCTTTTAGCTACCCGTTTTCACCATCGTCAGCATCGGCGTTTGCCCATATTGTTTTCGGTACGCAAAACCAACCACCGGCTTGCTATGCCGTGACGTCGTTTGATATCTCTCCCTTTAACGATTGGCCGTAACTGGACGAACCTCGGGCGCACTAGTTTCGGCTGATACTTGCCTTGTAATGACGCTACCTGAAACTGCTTGCGGTGCCGCCTACACAATTGGCCACAGTAAAAGATTTTGCACCTAGCTCCAGGTAAGGTCATCTTTATTTCTACGAAAAGAAGACAAATGTGATCTACCTGAAGGTAATTTTAATCAAAGATGCATCTGCAAGTAAAAAAGTTCTATTAATTATTATGAATCTCAATGCAAGTAATTTTGTATGGATTTTTGCACAGATATTTTGTTTGTGGGGTTTTTTATACAATACTAGTGGCTGAACAACGTAAAGCTGACAGATTATTTCCTATCAAATAGCAAGCAGATATTGAAGAAAATGTATTTAGAGGAAATTAATGGACAGCGTTTATATGTAGTGAACGCATGGAAAATGAGTGAGCTAGGCATGCGTAGTAGCAGTCGCTAGTGTTTTTTGCTATACAGACTGCTTCAATACGTTGTTTTAGAAGACCATTTGTCGGGCATACGCATGCTTCCGATAAATTCCCATCAGGCCGGCACATTTGTATGGGAACGAGGTACAGAGTTTAGCGTGTGAACGACTAGAAAAACCAACTACAGTTTGTTTTTTTCACACAAGCAGAGTGTCTGAAAAGGGGGAGGGGGAGAGGCGGCAGTAACTGGCAGGGCGGGATAGGTTGACCCTTGTCGCAGTGGAAAGGAGAGAGAACGAGAACGAGAAAACATGCATCCAGTTAACTGACCATTGGCCACGGTAGACGCGGAGAATGCAAAGGGCTCTTCTGCGCGCACAGGACCGACCTCTGTAGCCAGATGGCAGTCGCATTTGCTGCTGCTGCTGCTGCTAGTATGCGATGGCCCAGTCGAATTGAGCAGTTAGGTGGATTCTTGTTGTTATAACCCGCCCGGTACCTGAAATCCCGTGGAGCGTACACGCACTCGACAGTTGTCCTCGATACCACAGCAACAAACAGAGAAAACACGACTGGCCACGGGAAGTGTAGTAGAAAAACACAGCAAGTCGCGACTAGCTGAAAGATGACGCATATTTATAACACCCTGCCGTGGTTCGCCGGCATTCGACCCAATTACTTTCGGGAACAGGGAAGTTGCCAATGGAGAGGCGCCCGACTAAGATGACAACGCTGTACAGAGAGTAAACGCACGTGGTCTCCTGTAATTGGTTGGCTCTTGTGTTTGGGAGTGTAGGCGCTCCCAACACCTCCCCTTCAAGTAGGTCAGTACCGCCTTTGGCGTTTATTAGTCTGCATTAACAGTGTTGATCCGCGCAAACGGTTGATCCGGCATTTCAGTCGTGGTTTGTTGTCCGAAGACACGGGGGCAACGGCTAGTACCGAAGGCTGTGCATCAGAAGGAGGCGCAGCAGTGGGTTCGGGAATTGACCGATCTGCCTGAATTCCGAAGGTATCAATTAGTATGTTAAGAGAGAGAGACAGACGGCACCGACTCGAGTCCGGTTGTGTTACTGCGATTTCGCCGTCGGATCTGGTTGTGGTGACGAACCCAGATATCATCACCAACGTCGAAATCAAACAACATACTGCCTCTTTGCGCTAGTTTGGTTGCCTCAATCAAGTCTGTGAACCCACTTCGCTAATCAAGAACGAAGACAGGTATTCCGACGGAAAGCTTGCTGTGAGAGACTGGAGAAGTCTGCGTGGATTGAACACCGGTAGGAACGAGTTTATGGAACTTTGTACGCAGTTTTCTGCCCATCAGAGCTTCGGCAGGAGAAACGCCACCAGGGAATACTAGGTTCGGTGTTGTCCTGTAGGAAAACAGGAACGTCTTGACTATCTAGTCCGTGGTCCTCTGCCCACGAGCTTTTAAGAAGGATGTCTTAAACGTATCGACAAAACGCTCCGCCTGACCGTTGGACTGAGAGTGGTAGGGCGGGGAGCGGAGATACCGGAAGTTGTGCTAACAGCAGAAATCCTCAAGCGTGAACGAAGTAAACTGAGAGCCATTATCCGAAACCAGGACTTCTGGTAAGCCACGTTGGCAAAAGATGCATCGTAGGAAGGCAATAGTGGCAGATGCGGTCGCTGGATTCAGCGGAGCAATCTCAGGCCATTTCGAGTAGGCGTCCACCAAGATTAGGTAGGAGACTCCGTTATGGGGGCCAGCGAAGTCGACATGCACGCGTGACCAAGGCTGTCGAAATTTGTGTGGTCGACAAAATAAAGATTCCCAATCAAAAGTCAGGGAAGACGGTTTGAGTCGGACAACCTTTACTGCCTGAGGAAGTGCGTACACGAGGGCTCTGTAGGCAGTCGCCGAGAGCACGCTCCAAGCAAGCTGTTGTCTGTGTCCGCCTTCGAGGTTTTGTGTCCGCGTGTGTGCGCCCTTCGTTGTCTCCACGTCCGCCAGCCAATCAGAGTGGGGACAGCGTTGATTGGCCTCGAGCACTCGGGCGTCCCAGCAGCGTATCGACACGGAGTGTGAGGCGGACAGGACGGCAGCGTGACAAAGGCGGAGTGCGACGAGACGCGAACTGCCACAAGGCCTCTCCGGTGGTTGCCAGAGCACTGGCGGTTGACGAGGCAGCATCTTGGCAGCTTGCTAACATCGATAACAGCGTCGAACCAGGTCGTCGATGTCACCGTCGATACCCGGCCAGTAGGCAAAACTGCAAGCTATCGGCTTCATTAGCCTGGCACCTGGATGAGCGGCATGGAACTGGCGTAGTACAGTGGGTCGGAGGGAAGATGGGATGACCACACGGTCTGCAAACATGAGGCTGGAGTCAACCACAAATAGCGATGCTTGGCGAAGAAGGAGCTGGCGAAGATCGCCAGCAAGAGTAGTGGCTGGCCAGCAGGTCTGCACGTAGGTGATTGGCCGATGGAGGACAGGATCCTTTTCAGTAGCACGTCGGATGTCCGCGGAAGTGACAGGGATACCTCGTATGGCGTCTGATAGCTGACGGCGCAAATCGTCTTCGATCGAAATGGCCGCAATCGCAATGTCTTTCGGAGGTTCCTGTTGATTGCTGATAAGGCCAGTAAGGGTGTCAGCCTGACCAAATTCTGTATTACGACAGTAGCGAATGTGGAAATCGTAGCCAAAAAGGATGGTCGCCCATCGCTGAAGTCGGCTGGCAGAGTTGACACGAATGAGCTTCGTCGAACCGAAGACTGAAAGCAATGGTTTGTGATACGTCAACAACGTGAAGTGACGACCGCACAACAGTTTGTTAAATTTCTTGACGGCAAACACGAGGGCTAGATCCTCTTTCTCTGTTTGTCCGTAGTTCTTCTACGCAGGGGTAAGCGTGTGAGACGCAGGCATGATTGACTTTTCAGACCCGTCAGGAAAAGTATGTGAGATGACGGCACCAACTCCGTGGTTGGAAGCATCTGAAGCAATAACGATCGGCAGCGTCGGGTCGTTGTGCGTGAGCAGCAGATCTTAACTTAACATCGACTTTAGGTGGGCAAAAGCCTTTTCGCAGAAGGAGAACCAGCACCAGGAAGCATCCTTCTGCAGCAGACGGTTGAGCGGGGCCCGTGCGTCATGCATAGACGGTAGGAAGGAGCTATAGAACCTGATTAGGCCAAGGAACGAACGAAGTTGCGATACATTCTTGGAGGCAGGCATCCGTTGGATGGCCCGAATGCCTTCAGGATCTAAATGGTGACCGGCGACGTCAAAAACGAATCCCAGGTACGTGATGGAGTCGAGGAAGATTTGGCACTTGTCGGCCCGCAGGCAGAAGCCATATTCTTGCACAGGTTCGAGTACTGCGCACACTCGGTTTTGCAGCTCGGCAGGGTAGCGCCCCACGATGATGCTGTTTAGTTACCCAGCTGTGCTAGAGATGCCGGAGAGCATTGTGTTCATAGTTTGTTGGAATAGGGCTGGGGCGGTCTGGACACCAAAGGGCAGCTGCATATATTGAAACAGACCGCGGTGGGAGATGGTGGTCAACAATTCTCGTGACTCTGGGGCGACCTCGATCTGCAAATACGCATCAGCGAGATGCAAATTGGCAAAGCAAGTGCCACCATTCAGTAGGGTGAAAAGATTAGCCGGAACCGGCAGTGGATAGATCTGTGTATGTCCCTAGTTCCACATTTCCTCAGCCACTCCATCAGGTGTTCATGCATTCTTGTGGATAGGCGTCCACTCGTACAACCAATACAATCCGCACCAAAGTAACGAGTAATTTGGGTAAATATACATTAAGGTGGTCTCGGATGTTGGCCTATACTTAACTCCCTCATGTTGGACGGAGTTGGTCGAGGACACTACCTGAACGTTACCTGTCAAGCGGAGTTTTCTAGCACTTCGCGCTAAACAACGAGCTAGGTGAAGCTTCTGTTTAAGAGGTACGAGGAGGAGATGCTGTGAACGTAGCGACTATGGTGCCTTGGCGTAGTAATATGATCTTCATAATGGAGCTCCTCAAAGACGATATTTTGTAGCATCCCAGGCTAGATCGTTAGTCAGTAGTCAGTGTCTTACAGGAATGGTCGTAATGGGGTTTTTACGAGTGGAGCAGCACGCGCGTGGAATAAATGGGTACATTCAAGGAATTGCAGTAAATTCCGTTGTAAGACTCAACGTGCGGTGCCGCATAACTACGGGCAGCTAGTGCGATAATCAGAAAACAAAATTTCAAAAACTAATGTTGTTAGAAGAAGCCGTCGATGGTACACGTGGTCGGTCATCCAGGGCGATACCTCCCAAAAAATGACTAACGATAAGTAATGCTTCCACTCCCACAGTTTTTCGTATATGAAGAAAATGAACACGCGATCTCTAGGGATATAAGGTGTACTAGTCTGGGTTTTCGGTCTCATACGGGATGCCATCGTCAGGGACTGTGAGAATGCGGCATAAAATGGACAGTTTTATAGTCAAGCCATGAAGGGGGGTGATATAAGTGCCTGTTGATATAGTTGGTGTCAGACACCCAGGCCCGCGCTAATATCCGCGTGCTTGCAAAGTTGATTTCGTGGCCTTCCGCCAGCGTGTGAGTGGCGACCTGAGACAACGGGTTGCCTCGCCAGATCGCCCGTCTATACTCCGTTATTAGTGAGCTAAGTCGTCGTCCAGTCTGTCCTCTGTAATGGCGCGGGCAGTTCAGACATGGGATCTGATAAATTGCAACTGATTGATCTCCCACATCTAGTCGTTCTTTCTTCGCAGAATCTTTTTGCCCAAATTCGCTGTCGGACAGCAACCGACACCCACGCCGAGCTCTTCAGCGATACGTACCATCGCTTCGGACAAATTCTTTATACATGGTAGAGGATGCCAGAGTGTTGACGGCTTACCTCCGTTTGTGTGCCGTGGGTGCGTGCGGCGGCAGTGGCTTACGAGCTGTTCGGGTATCCATCCTTGCCAGTTTGTCCCGAAGTTGCCGTGGTTCTCGTACTCGTCCCTCAGGCTTACTGCAGTGATTTTGTACCCTTTAGATCAGTGTCCTAACACAGGTGCACTTGTCTGCCCATGTGTGATTAATATGGTAATTTAGAGTCTAAGTCGTGCTAGTCGTCTTTCTGTACACCACAATGCTAAGTTCGCCATTTGGTGTGCATGTGTGTGTGACCAGATCGTCAAGGAAAGGCAGCTTCATTGACACGCTATTATTCCCTTGTAAACTGTATGTCAGGGAAAATAACGTTAAGCAGGTCTTGAAAGTCGCGCAGTTTGCTCCTTTCATTTATGACGAACATTGTCAATAGAAGCGAAGAGACGAGTCCCAGGAAGTAGTCTTGAAGAAGGAGACACGATCGCTAGGACAAAAGCTTTATTAGCCTGACGTTTCTGATTCCAACTCGAATTCATCATCTGAGACAAAAAGCAGAAAGGGGTGGTTGCTGCACAAGGGGCTGCGATTTTTATAGGATGTTGTAACCATGCTACCGCATACCTATGAACATTCACGGCTCCCCCATTCATCCGGGATAGTCGTACTTGGTGTGATCACTGCACGATGGCCGACATTCGAGTCGATAATTGCTGCAATTATATCACGTGCGTTGGATCTTGGCGTGATGATTGCTCGACCATCTGACTCACCGACCCCGGTGTTGGGAAGAGTGTTCACCTCTGCCCTCCCAGCAGGGCTTGTTACTCCGCCTAGGCGAAGTTTTAGTACGGAGTATGGAGTTGGAAGATCGTTGAACTTGCTGATGGACAGGGGGCCAGTAAACCATGATTTCAGTAGCTCTCGGCTCACGCGGTTGTCACCTCTTGCGAGAATTTTTGCCTCATCGAATTTGAATGTGTGGCCGGATCTCGTCGAATGAGCTGTAACTTGAGAGCTGGCGTCATTTCTGCGTACCGCTGCCGCGTGTTCGGCCATTCTCGTTCGGAGCTGTCTTCCGGTTTTTCCAACGTAGTTGCTTTGTCCGCAACTGCGCCAGATCCGATAAACGACTCCAGACGTTTCTAGCCGAGGCAGTGGATCTTTCAGTTTCATGACCAGACGCCTGACGGTTGCCTCCGGTCAGTGTGCCACTCCAACACGAAGTGGTGCGAGAAAGCGGCCGACGGCTTCCTAAACGTTCTTGACATACGGAAGTGCCCGCCAAGATTTGGTGTCCGGGCGGTTAGGCCTTTCGTCCCTTTTGCGTATGCACCGGTCGACGAAGTTGCGCGGGTAGCCATTGGCTTTGAAGACCCGTCGGAGGTATTGTAGTTCGGCAACTTTGTTATCCGGCTAACTGCAGTGCGTTTCGACACGCCGATATAGCGTCCTTACACAATATCGATAACAACGGAGAGGCACAAGCCGTCTACGTCCTCTCTCGCCTTCCCACTCCAGACGTCTGTTTCATGCATCAGTCTTCTTCTCCTTCCCTCCTCTGTCATTATTCCCTGAACACACATCCTTTTTCGCATTTCCTCCGTCGCCTCCCATCGGTTCATCACGCCTTTTCCTTCTCATACCGACGTCTTATCCTAAGATCTGCTAACCAGTTAACGGATTAGGATTATGCAGTCGCATTTAAAATGAAGTACAGCCCACCGATGAAGATCTACAAAACCTAAAAGACCATAGAACACTCCGTTGTCTTTGTTCGTGAAATGGGCCGTTTTCTGATTGTTCCTCACATCTCTAATAGCACAAAAGCGCGTTACTAACAGTGTTGTCTACAGACGAGGTTGATCATCAGGGGGTCGATCGCCGAACCAGCCATTGGAATTTGCCGAGCTTTTCCACGTGCAGTGGCGTAATCAACTTATGTTGGGTTGATTCTTGGAAAATTATACCCAGTTGCAGTAAGAGACATTTTAAGGTCTGCAATTTTACGCACCTCCAAACATCCTTTATTGATTGAGCTTTGGATGCCGTGACACCATGAATCAAGCGTAACTTGATACAGTTATCTCTATGCTGCCAGTCACAAGAGAAGCCTTTAATTATATTATTCGACTCCTAAAGTGACGATGTCCTATTCCGCTGGAATCACACTGCTCTGCTAACTAAACTCCATGTGCAGCTACGTCGCCGACTATAACGACACCAGGGTGGAGCAAGACGCGCGCGTCAAAACGTGCGTGTCTGTACACATACGTTGGTTGCTCACTTTAAAACGTTCACACCGTGATCGAACAACGGAGGCCTGACTTTAGCAGATCTACCGTAAGCTCATAACTGTTAGACTCTCAAAGCGATAATTGATCGCGAGCGGTTTAAGAGTCTCGCGGCGTAAGGGTTGGAGTGACGAAGCATTGCCAGCTTGCTGAAAAAGCATGAGATAATTTTCGCTAATGGAACTGCTAACGAGTCTTGAGAAAGTGCACAGTGCTTTAAATACACTCGGTTCTTTGAACTGACTGCATTCGCTGTCTTTTCGACAACTATGAGAATAGTCTTTTTCATATAGGTGTGCATCCACAATGTGAAGCAAAGATGAGACATAAGAAAGATAATTTCACAGGTGGTTGAATATGAATTATTCAGAATCTGCCAACATATTTATGAATTACTTGTGCATAGTAATCATCTGGTGGATTCTAGGTGAATTACCTAGGAAATCCTGCCTGGGCAGTCAACTCACTGAATCAGATTTGGTGGATTCCAGACGTTGCAGTAGGTTGGGCTGGTAACTTGACCCATATGTGATTAAACTAGCGTCGTCCTGGCGGGACCTCGTAGCTCAAGTGGTTAGAGCGTTGGCTGAATTAAAACCTTCCACTTGCTGTCGTGGATTCGAATGCCACCGAGTCGCTGAGTTTTTCACAGTTAAACCAAAATGACTTATTCATAATCTGCCAAAACATCACTTGAATCACTTTCAAACATTAACTGTAAATATACAATGACAGAAGGCTGTTCTGAAACCAAAAGATAAAACTGCACAGTATGCATGGCAACGGAGCATCCATTGTAAAAACAAAATTCATGTCAAAGTAGGTTACAATGGGGACTTTACAGCACTAGGCTACTTCCTTGCAGTAAGCTCTTTTTTCTTTGCCGGACAGAAAAATGGCATCCGGTAACTGAAACTTTTCCGCAATGTTTAAATTTAGTACGTGGCGACGACTACCGATAAAAACGATTCCTGCTTCAGAGTGTGATGATGCGAGAAATAGTCCTTTGTCCTGTACGACATCCAAGTTTTCATATTGAACCAAATTTGAAAAACTCGGTGCCTCGGTAAGATTCGAGTCCACGCAGTAAGGGGAATGCTTTAGTGCAGCCAACGCTCTAACCACTTCGGCTACGAGGTTCCAACGGAAGCCTCGAGTTTAATCCCATTCGGGTCAAGTTAACTGTCCAAACTTCTGCAACGTCTGGAATCCACCAAATCTGATTTAGTGAGTTGGCTACCCAGGCAGGATTTCAATAGTGGTTCAGCTAGAATCTACCAGATAAAAACCAGACTTACGTACTTCATAGATGTTTTAGCAGGTTTTGAATAAATCATATTGACTCGCCTAGGCGCCGAGTTTTTCACAATTGGTCAATGTGAATTATTCAAAATCTGCCATGGCATCTTTGAATCCAAGTTTTCATCATGTGATCAGAGGCCATTTTTCTCCTGTAAATCTCCCCACAAAGAACTGCGGAGTATCAGTGAATGTGTTTCCTTGACTTCAGCAAATAAATAACCGACCATCACAGCAGTCGAACCGCAACTCTCAACGCAAATAGATTGATTGGCACCATCTACGGATGTCGCAGAAGGAGGACGTTAGAAAGGAATATGCGAAGATTAATGAACATTCACTGTGAACACAGATGCACAACGTCTGTTCACGCCCTCCCGATTACCGGTATGAATCAAGCAAAATGAAAGTTTCTTCTTGTATTTCTACCCTAAATAATCCATAAAAAATGTTGATTTGTTTGACTTCTATCCGCCCTGAGATCTATAGCTGCGAGATATAGCTGCAAAGGATGAAACTCACCAATTTGCGCCGGTGGTTCTCTCTCAGGCGTACCTCGACCTGTCCTTCGAACCGACCGCATTCGCTGTTATTTCGACAACCAAGAGAATAGTCCTTGTCGTTTAGTTGTGCATCCGTAATATGAAACAAAGTTGAGGCATAAGAAAGATAATTTAATTCATATTGACCCAAGTGTGAAAAACTTTGTGCCAGGTTTTTCACAGGTGAGTCAGTATAAATCATTCAAAACCTACCAAAATATCTGTGAAAGATTATTTACTAAAATGCGGTTGGATCTAAACAAGTAGAGCAAATGGTTTCCTACCCTTAAGTCTGCAAACGATAAGAAAATGGGAAGCGGTGATGATAACTGAATAGAATTTATTTAGCTCTACAGTTTGCACGGGATGATTTCACATCGTTTATGCATGGTAAAGCGACAAATGGCCACAGATTCCTCAACACTCGGCTGAGAAACCGTTGGTTTATGGATTCACTTATCCAGTAAGATGATCTACGCTCATTCTGTAGGCAACTAGCAGATGTTAGATCCTTTGAAATCAGAGAAATGCACTAGTTTGCCCGATTCTTTGAGACCGCCGCCTGAGTCTTGAAATATTTGAAAACTGTCCACTCCACATTTGACACGATGGAACAACCTGACGTAACGAAACATTCGAATGGTTGCATATGACCATATTAACATTAAAAGAAGAAAAGGTGCTTACCAGGAGGGATTTGTTGGAGGTTCGACGTTTCGAGTAGTTGATCCATCTACCCATCTTCAGGGACAACAAATCCCTGCGCACAGCTCCCCTTATATGACGCATTTTGTTCAGTGCGTGACCCGTCAATGTCGCCTTTGTGGCTGTGTTTAACCCATATGTCACTTTCACCTGAATCGCTCCCGGCGGCCGCAGAGATGACTGACGATCCTGATTGTCCTGGGCCGGGACTGTCTCTCACTTTAAGAAGGATCGAAAAGTCAGATAGAGGGAGGTAAATTGATGTGGCGGTTGACAGAGGGGTCCGGGGATATCTCCGAAAGCCTCCAGTCAACATAAAATTGGCTAAACAAACGATGTTCCGCCATAGCCGGCGATTGACACCCGCTTACGGGCTTGCAAACTGGCTATTTCAGAAGCTAAAATTCCTAACTGCAGACTCACAAACAACGGTGCACTCAACGGAACAATTCATTGGCAAATTAAGGGCAGTTACGATCGAACCGAATGAGAAGATGGTGTCTTTTGACGTCGTCTCACTCTTTAAGTCCATACCGCAGGTCCTTGAGGCCGAAACGCTCAGAGATCTGTTACTTCAAAATTACGACAAGGTCGATGGCCAGCTCACAGCTCACGATCTCATAGAACTCATGGAGCACTGCCTCAAGACATTCTTTACCTTCGAATGGATCAAACATGAGCCAATCAAGGGCGCTCCAATGAGTTCACCAATCTCCGGGCTCAATGTCGAGGTGGTTCTACAACAACTCGCAAGACGACTATTCGAGGAGTACATACCCACGTTTTTGGCATGCTACGTTGGTGGCACCTTTGCAGTCGTCGACCGGGATAAAAACAACTCCTATGCGAATCTACTGAACTCAATCATTACCGATCTACTGTTCACGATGGAAGAGGAAGTAGGGGGCAAACTTCCATTCCTCGATGCTCTCGTCTGCCGCCAACCAAACGACAAACTAGCGACTTCGGTCTATAGAAAACAGACGAACACGCTGCAAATGTTCAGCTACAACAACAACAACAACAACCTCCCGCTGCAACACAAACGAGGCTGTGTCCGTACGCTATCCCGACTGGTGGAAACTTATTTCAGCACGCCAGCCGACAAACTGGACGAGGTAAAGCCCCTACAAGAACTCTCCGGAGCCAACGGCAATCCGCGGGATTTCATTGAACGGAGCCGAGTGCAGCCAAAGAAACGGAATGAAGAGCATAGTCAGTAAAACTCGTGAAGGTGCATTCCGTACACTAAAGGGGTCTCCGAAGCCGTGGCTAAATATAAATATACATTTGGCAAACGTATTATACCGTACTCTAGACATAGGTCTTTGTATACTATATATACATCCATATATGTCAAATCAGATCAGATTTATTAAGGGAAAAGTAGGCGAGCGCCTTTGAACTCCCTTTTGGTTACAATAACGTCATAAAAAACAATGTGTAAGGCAAGTTTGAAAAAAATTAGGTAAGTAATTACATACAACAAGCATTGGTCACTGGTATGAATTTGTGTGTGAATGCCTTCTATGTCAAAATTGTACAATATCCAGTACGGCAATGAATGGACCAAGTAATATCAAAGCAAGCGCATATGTGGCGGTCAGGAGATAGCGAAAATTGTAAAACGTAATGTTACTAAAATATAGGAGTAGCATGCTTTGTAACATAAAACGTTGGATGGGGCGGGTGGCACAGGGGGGAATTCGTTAGTTTCTGATGCTGTGGAGGTACATATCCCTGTACTGGTCAAGCTTTCTCTTAAATGAGTCCACGGATGAGGACATGACGACATCCACAGGTAGGGCGTTCCATGCCTTTACCACTCTGTGGCTGAAGAAGGACCTCCTTGCGTCCAGTCTCGCTCCTGTCACACGTAGTTTCAGAGGGTGTCCTCTCAAGCTAGTAGTGGTGGCCAGCTCAAAGAAGTCGCCGGATGCGAGGCAGCAGTCCTGACCCCGTAGCATTCTAAACGTTTGAATTAAGTCGCCACGGAGTTGTCTGTAGTCCAGGTGAAAGAGGTTAAGAGTTGAAAGTCTGGTTTCGTAAGGTAGGTTTTTATGACCTCTGACAAGCTTGGTTGCCCGTCGTTGGACTTTTTCGAGGGTGGTACGATCCTTAACAGTCCAGGGTCTCCAGGCCTGAATGGCAAATTCTAACTGTGGGCGCACAAACATCTCGAAGACCTTGCGGAAGCACTCTTCATCGAACTTGGCAAATGCCCGCTTATTGAGATATAAGCTGGACATTGCGGATTTCGCTGCTTTCAAGCAGTGGAATGATGGCTTTAATGAAGATGTTATCCACACCCCTAGGTCTTTCTGAACCTCTACCAGTGGCAGCGGTGTGTGATTTAGATAGTACGTCTGCCGGTGCGCAGAGCTGGTTCTGCCAATCCTCAGAATGTTGCATTTGGTAACATTAAATCGGAGGAGCCAGTGGCCTGACCAGTTTTCGAGTCGGTCTAAGTTTGCCTGTTAATTTGCTTCATCGTCCTCGTTGCGGATGACGGTCCAAAGCTTTATATCGTCAGCAAACATGGCAATCTTGCAGTCCAATCCATGGATACAGTCATCAGTATAGATGAGGAAGAGGATAGGGCTAAGGACGGAGCCCTGAGGTACTCCGCTCTTAACCGTCACCTCTGCCGAGTGCTGGCCAACAAGACGAACAGTCTGAGACCGACCGACCAAAAAGTTTTCAATCTACTTCAAAAGCTTGCCTCTTACCCCTTTGCGGCTGAGCTTGTGTAGGAGACGTTGATGTGGCACGCTGTCAAAGGCCTTCTTGAAGTCTATGTAGGTCACATGCACAACGTTTCCTTCATCAATCGCTCGGGTCCACTGTTCAAGACAGTAGAGTAGATTGGTTAAGCAGGACCTCCCTCTGCGGAAACCGTGCTGTGCATCGCACAGAAGATGATTTTGCTCTAAAAACCGCATCAGTTCGCGTTTGATTATTCGCTCCATAACTTTGCAGCATATGGAGGTGAGGCTTACTGGTCGGTAGTTGTTTGCGGAAGCGCGACTGCCATTTTTATGAATCGGTGAAATCCACGCAGTCTTCCACTCAGGAGGCAGTCTGCCTGCATCAAGAGAGGCTTGGAAGAGGACGCTCAGAGGTTCTGCCAATTCTGTGGCTAATTCCTTCAACAACTTTGCCGGTATTTCGTCAGGACCGGGCGAAGTCCCTTCTTTTAGCTTCAGTAATTCCTGTTGAACAATAGGTTTTGTGAGAACCACTGAGTCAATTGTCGGGACATTGTCCACATTACAGTGATCAGTGGGTACAGCGACTTCTCTCGTAAAAACCGACTGAAAGAACCTGGACAGATGCTCAGCCTTTTCGTCGTCCTTGTAAAGTTCAACGCCATCATCAGTTTTTAGCATAGGGATGGGATCCCTGTTGCGAGTACTTTGTCTTATGTGGTTGAAGAAAAGCTTTGGGTTTTCTCCTGCACAGTTTAAAAGGTTACCCTCGAAGTCTTGGCGGGCTTTGTAAACAAGGCACTTTACCCTATTCCGCTGAGCCTTATAACTATTTCTTGATTCAGTTGTCTTGTCCCTAAGATATGCTTTCCACAGCTTTTGCTTACGGTTTACTTCAACTTTTAGTGAACCCTTAAGCCATCGGGGCCTGCTGGTGATTTTCTTTTTCGACATAGGGCAGTATCTAGTGATAAGTTCATCCAGTATGGCCTTAAGTTCTAGCCAGTCCTTGAGGACACACCCCGTAAATGCTGCTTTCCAGTTTCTACGACGCATGTCGACACGCATTTGGTTGAAGTCACCACGCCATATGTTGCGTCTAATCACGATGCTTTGATCGGGTACAGAGAAGAGAGAATACTCCCACTGTAGGACTACATGGTCGCTTTTTCCAAGAGAGGGTAGACAGTTTACAACATCAACGCCTTCCGGTGCCTTTGTCAATACAAGGTCTAGGCAGTTAGCTAGTTGTCCTTCACGTAGTTTGGTTGGGGATAAGACGTGTTGTGTTAGATGCGATCTTTGCACCGATTTTAGGAGGCGGCGATCAAAGTTAAATTCTGAGCCCGGGGCAGAAGTCAGATTCCAGTCGATATTCGGAGCGTTAAAGTCGCCCATAATCATGACATTGGGTCGGAGCGAAATCGCTTCTAATTCCTCTAGTAGTCTACTGTCTGATTGCGGGTCGTTCCTCGGTGGGCGGTAGACCGTCAGGATCTCGAGAGGTTGTGACCCCGGCGTTTTGATGGTGGGCCAAATCGTTTTAGTTGTGCGCGCGAGCTGTCCCTCTTTTACTGACGCAAAAAGGCCATATTTGACATACTCGAGCACACCTCCACCTTGACGTCCCAACCTGTCCTTTCTGAACAAGTGATAACCAGATAAAGCGACTTCGCGATCATCTACGCTCGCGGACAGCCACGTTTCAGTTATGGATATAACATCGGGTAAGGTTTGGTCAACGTAGATTTTAAGCTCATCTAATTTAGATAGCAGACTTTGCGCATTGGAATAAAAGCATTTTAGCTTTTTTTTTCCTTTGGTAAGCCGGCTATGACGCCGCCTTTGCCAATTGTCTCGGCTGTGGCGACATACGCACGGGCCTTGTCCATATGAAGCGGGACGGTCGCTCGATTATGCAGTTGTTGTAGATAACCAGGCCTTGCTCGCCATTCATTTGTCGCAGCCTTAGCTCCTGAACTAACAGTCGGCGTTTTGTCCGCTCCGGTGGTGTGTAATCCGGCTGAAAAAAAACTCCTTGGTGGGTATATTTTAACCTAAGACGTCTTGAGAGGATGAGATCCACATGCTCTTTGCAACTCAGAACAATTTTAAGGGACCTAGGATGCGGTGGAATAGCGGGTTCAGTGGAGCGCTTTCCGAGTCTGAAGGCTTTCAAAACGGAAATTTCTTCGTCGGGTTGAAGCAGTGTGTTTAGAAGACCTTGGAACAAGCCGAGATCACCTAATACGCGTTCTGTAGGAGTATCTGCTTGAGGCTCCTGAAGTCCCTGTATTACTAGGCACTGTTCTCGGAGCGGCCGGTCTTGGTTGCGTGATGTTGGTAACTTGGGAGTTCCTAGCGAACCATTCATGATGACATTCTGGTTGCCGTCCACTCCAGGGATCTTTTCTGAAGCTAATGTTATCGTGCTTGGGGCAATACTGCTCCTGTCTTTTATGTCAATACAGAGGATATTCGCATTTGCCGCGTCTGTGTCTACGCTGGCGCTGGAGGTTTCTGCCGATTGCTCAGAAGAGCTCTGCTTTTCCACCCCAGGAAGTTCCTTTCTTCGGGTACTCCGAAGTCGTCCGATTTCCGTCTCTCTCTTTTCAGTCGTCAGTCCCCTTTGATTTAACTGCTTCTTTTGATGTGATCTCAGTTGAATGTGAACGGTCTGAGTCTTATTATTAATTCCTTGGTTCTCCTCGGTCACCTTGCGGGGGGCAGTGAGCGTCTGCTTTCTGCTTTCTGTGTTTATAATAAAATGATAAGACTCGTAGGAAACTCGAGACATATTCGTGGATTTGCAAGGAGGTTCAACCAAGAAGTCATAGGACGGAATGAATATGGTGAGTGAAATAATTACACTGGGAGGCTGTAAGGACATGGAGGTCACATCGACAGCGTAAACATCCAGGCGTTGGGTATGAAGAACGTGCTTGGATAAGTAACGGAAGTTGGGGGATGTGTTGAAGGTTTCACATATGCTTCACTCGGTGTGAAATGTGCCAAATCTATGATAATCTGCGTTGTAGAACACGGATTACCAGCTGGTGTCTTAGGGTTGGCGCAAGCCGGTGAGCCATGAACGTAAACCTTCGTCGTGAGCGTCGAAGTCGACACGGCGGTCGATGCGGTTGTTAGTAGAATGCAAAATGTCAATAACCTCTCGTGCCTGTTTGTTAATGGCACTGGCGATCACTTTAGTCCTCCAAGTTGAAGCGGTGATTACACTCAAGGGCGAGTACAAAACACGAAAGACAAGAGGCCCTGTCGGCGAATGACCAACTTAGGTTTTTTAATAAGGGTCCCAATTCGTCGGCCGGTATGCCCAATATAAATGCTAGAGCAGTTTGCATATGGAATGCGATAAATGACATTTGTTTGCTGCTCATTCGGTATGGGGTCTTCTACTCGGGATAATGTGGTTCGCAATGAGGACGCTGGCTTGTGGGTGATGAAGATGCCAAACTCATTTTATTGTCAAACGATCACTTTGGAAATTCTTGGCATGTAGGATAGGCAGTAGAATTTCCATGACACCTTGTCTCCGTTAGAGTCTACACTTTTGGCTGTCTCTAGTACCTCAGTCGGAAAACCGATACAAGAATACCGGTTCTTTCTTAAGTAAATCTGCCCTACTGACGGGGCGATAGGACCTGTTGAAATGGGTCCGAACTCAGCTTCTTTTATGTCCTGCTGGGTGGTTCGTCTGATAGCAGATGATTATCTTAAATATCAGAGCCTTTCCAGTGAACGCTTGTCTCGAGTTCGCGAACCTTTATATGCTCACCTCTAGGAACGGGAGGGTGTCTACTTTTGCTTCTTCACGAGTACATTGTGGCGCTGGTGAGGCATCATTCGAGTTCTGGTGAAATCGTCCAACTTCACAGGTCTTGACGATAACAAACGCGTCAGAGAGAGTCGTCAAAGACAGCGAGAGTTTCTTGAAGTTTTGCACCCTAACAACCGCATTAGCTGCTGTGTCGACTTCGACGCTCACGAAGACGGTTTTACGTTCATGGCTCACCGGCCTGCACCCAATGGCTTTCAGAAGTCGGCCAGCCACTTAGCCATTGATTTTTATGCAGCGTAACTACTTAAATTTGCACAGTCACTCACGATTTATAGTTGATTGTCTTGACGTAGACGCGAAAAACAGTGTATCCAACGTAGGGTAGGGAATGATTGGAGCCATCTCTTTGACCGTGTCAGTCGCCAGCCCGAGTTTGGCGCAGCCGGAGGCGAAGAGACTCCTGCTTCATTGTCCGCCCCTGAGCGTGCAGTCATCCGCGAAGGGCATATCGTGAATAGTCATCGTGAAGATAGGCGTTGAGGCCTGAATTTGCAGGCTATTGAGATTCCCGTCAATTCTTTAAGCAATGTGTACCCCGGTACACTCATCACGAGAGGCATCCGTCAGCACTGCGAATAATATGAGACTGAAGAGAGTGGGATTACGTGCATAGCGCTACCCCACACAGTTAGTCAATGTGAATGTTTTTCATACTGTCTCATTGTCCGTGAAGCGCCATTATTTCATCGTAAAGCTGAAGCTCCTTTTGCGTGAATTACCAAGGACAGTCGAATTTTTAGCATGCTTCTCCACAGCACATCGCGATTTGGGATGTCGGAAGTTTTCGTCAAATCCACAAACTTAGTGCAATGATGGGTCCGCATTTTCTGACGTTTCGCATGCGGCTGGCGGAAAGTGAAAGTCATGCTGATGGTTTTGCGAAGGCCTTGACAGGCACACTGACTTTCTGGCAAAGTACGTGTTCTACATATAGGTTGAGGCGGTTGAGGTGGATGCGAGGGATGATCTGTCCGGCGATGTTGGGAAACGAGATGACTCCACCGACTTGCTGATTCACTACCCATCTGTAGAGATGGACAGTTATCGTATCCCTAAAATCCCCAGGAACTTGTCCTCGAAGCCGTGCCTCTTGAAAAACGTAGTGCAGTAATTCATCACACGGGGGCCGTTCTGCTTGTAAACTTCAGCCGGAATCGTGTCGGATTTCGATTCTTTGGGGTTTTGGGGAGATAATGCTGGAGGTCAACAGTATTGTTCATTTTTCATTGAGTGAGTTAGTCTGATACCACTTCGGCCATTGTGGGTGGGTAGTTGGTGACCATTCTTATCTGTTCGGCCCAGCATTTCAGAATTTCCGAGCCCACTGTCAGAGGTGTTGTTCCATCGGAAATGAAAATCGGAGCAGTTCCTCCGGTAAGATAGTTGTCAGCCTTAATGACTGAAATGAAAAGGCTCTTTGCTTTATTATGGTCAGCCTACTTCTGGATTTGTTTGGGCCTTTCGAGTCATCCAGGCAAGTGCATCTGCCACATTCATTAATACAGGAGGCGGCAACCTTCAATGAATTATTTTCTTGGTTCCTCATAACCCTTTAGGGGTTTACTGTTGGCATAATTACTGCCGGGACTCACTTTGTATTACTGCATTAATTTTAGTCAATTTGGATTTATTATTCTACCGTTGTTACACGAATACAACAAAAACATAAACGACCACAACCTGCATTATAGACAAAATGGACATCACAATAACCACTATGTCTGAAAGGATGTGGCGAAAGCTAGCTTATGGATGTTATCAAACTGAAAACCGTGAACGCTATATCCTTCTAGTAGCATAAAATGCTTGTTCAGATTTTACA